GCGTCGCCAGTGCCCGCCCTGGGAAGCAGCCACCCGTCTTGGCAGCAGCCGAGTGCTCTGCATCAGGAGAGAGAGGATAGGAGGGTTACTCGGCTGCAGGAGCCTGGCATCCGCACTGAGATGCACCGAGAGCCTGTGCTGCCAGGCTGTGTCCACCCCAGGCCGGACACGCAGGGAATAACCCTGTTCCAGCATCACCAACGCGCCCGGCTCTGCTGCACGCGCCACCAGTCCCCGAGTCAACACAGCCTCCCACAGCACTGCCAGCTGGTCTCTCCCTCCCAGTAGTGCCGCTCCTGGCAGCACAGGGTGGCACTCCGCTGGGAGCACCGTGAGTGTCCTCCGCAGTGCCATGGGGAGGATGTTGCAAAGTGCGGCCGCAGGGAGCCCCCAGCACCCGTGTCCCCTCCACGCTGCTGCTGCCCCTGCTCCCCGCTGCCTGCAGCTCTCGGCTCTCTCTGGACCGCTGCTGCTGGCCGAACCCCTCGCTGAGATGTGCTGCAGCCCGTGGCCATCACCAGGCACAAGCCACCAGCCCCTGGGGCAGGGCTTTGCCAGTAGTGGCCACCAGATGAAGCACCTGGGCACCCTGGCACTTGTCAGGTGGCCATGGGCACATCCTCGGCTCCCCTGAGCCTCAGCCTCCCCTGCCCAGGACCTATCCGCTGAGCTCCCCTTGCCTGCTGGGGCATCCCTGCTTGCCCAGGCTCCCTGCTCCTAGCCCTGCACGGCCCCAGCCCTTCCCGGGGCTCCTTGCCCAAATCCCCCACCCAAGTCACAGCCTCCCCCCGTGAGGACCCTCCTCAAGGCAGGCCTGTAGAGGAAGGGTCAGAGAATCGCTCTGCCCCCCATCCCACCCCAGTTTCGGGCAGAGCCATATCCCAGCCCCTGGCCCCATGAAAAGAAGCCTGCAGCTTCAGGACAGAATTGTTTTATTGCTCAGACGAGGTGCAACATCAGCCCCATCCCTGCCCTGGAGGACACGTCTCAAATCCTGCACCCACTTCCCTGGCGGAGGCAGAGCCATGGGGAAGGGCGGGCAGGAGGGTGAAAGGGGCACCCAGCAGGAGCAGGGGCAGTGGCATGAAGGGCTGCACGGGTGCGGGGGGGACCCGAGGAGACACAATACATACAACAGGCCATGTGGCCATCTGTACAAAAATAAAAGCCATTTACTAAGAGGCAGGGGCAGCCCGGCTGCCCTCTGAACACAGCTCTGAGGGGGGCCTGGAGATGCGACCCACAGCCCCATCCAGCCTCTGCCACGGCTGTCATGGCCATAGGGATGGGAATGGGCTGCAGAGCTGTGGGGAAGCTGCTGCCAATGACCGAGCCCTGGACAGCACATGAAGCCCTCAGGGACCCTGTCTGCCGTGCGGGATGTGGCTGCTCTCTTCAGTGAGTCCGGGGAAGCCGCTCAGGATTGAAGAGCCTCGGTCCTTCTCCGGGGGCTCAGCCCCACTCCTCTGGCCGGCCCCAAGGCGCCGGGGTCTTGCTCCTTGCTTTGGGGCCTGACCCCACTCCTCTGGCCCTTGGCTTTGTCCCTCTTCTTCGGGGGCGCGTCGCTCCCTCTCCGCGGCGCGGTGGCCCCATGTCCATGGCGGGCCGGAGTTGTGCCCCTCCTGGCATCGGCACAGGGGAGCAGGTCAGCGCGGGGGCCCGGGCTGGCGTCTGGGGGCGTCAGGCCGCTGACTGCGGGCTATGGTGGTAGGACAGGCAGAGCACAGTGGGAGCGGAGCCGGGCACAGCGCAGAGCGCCAGGGCAAGAGACACGGGGCAGCACCGAGCCCAGGGCCACCTGGCTCTGCAGCAGCCCCGGCCTCCCCAGCCCAAGATGTATCTGCACAGCCCTGGCGGCAGTAAGCAGCACAAGGAGCCCCCGCTGCGTGGGCTGGCGTGCGTGTGCGCACGCGTGTGCAGCCCCCTTGCCGGGTGTGCACGCACACGTGTCCTACACATGCAGGCACATTTGGGCGCGCAGCCGCAGCCCTCGTCGCATGCGCGCTCACCAACTGACTTGCCCTGGCGTGTGTCTGAGCGTGCACATCTGTGCAAAAGCGCTCCCGTCTCCCGGTGCACCTACGCGTGCCCGTGCACACGCGTGGCCCTCTCCTGGCATGTCCCCGCCTGTGCACACAGGTGTCCCTGCGCGTGCATGCGCCGTGCGTGTGCTGCCCTCTGCCGCACACGGCCAGCGTGGCCGCCCGGACGCCTGGGCCCTCGCCGCCGCATTTGCAGCGCAGAGGGGTCCATGCCCCGGGAGCTGTGCAGGGCCTTTGGTTAGGGCAGACGTTAGGGGACTGTCTGAGTTCACAGCCAGGCACAGCGTCTGCTGGGGAGCTCCCTGGCACTGGCACCAGCAGCGTGGTACCACAGAGCACGGCCACGGCTGAGAGCAGTGCTCCCAATCCCTGTGCCACAGCGAGGGACTCAATGGAACCGGCTCTCCTCACTCTAGCGCAGCCTCCGCAGCCCAGGGGCTCTTGCTGACCCCAGCTCCCCGCTCCAGCCCTGCTTCCCCAGCTCAGCTCCCTGTTGCAGGAGGTGCTGCTGGACAGAGAGCAGATGCTGGGGCTCTACCTTGGCCCTGTTTGTGCCCAGTGTACAGCACCCCTGCACCGCAGGACACCCCAGATCATCGGGGCTGGGCAGATGCTGCTCTGGCAACAGGAGCTCAAGAGCAGCCCGTGGCAGAGGCGGGCAGGGCTGCACAGGGCTGCGGTGCACGCAGGAGACCAAGGGACTGCCAAGGCAGGGGCAGTGGAGACATATGGCCAGCGGAAAAGGGGGCATGGGGAAAGGAGGTGGCGTGGGAAAAGGAGTGAGGTAGAGAGGGTGGCTCCGGATATGGGTCTGTGCGAGAGGGCGGGAGAATGTGCCCCATGGCACTGCCAGTCCCAGCTGTATGAGTCACTGCCCACTGCGACTGCCTGGCCCAGATAGGGCAGCCAGGCTGCAAGGGCCAGCAGCACCGGGAGCGCTCCACGCGGCCCACCGGGCTCGCCGCGCCACGACCCCCAGCCCCCCGCCCTGCCTGCCGCCCCTCCTGCCCTTACCTGACTTGACGGAGCAGTGGATGTGCGCCTTGGACTCGTAGTAGACCCAGTCGAACCCTGCCTCCACGGCCAGGCGAGCCAGCATGCCGTACTTGTTCCGGTCCCGGTCCGAGGTTGTGATGTCCACGGCTCGGCCCTCATAATGCAGGGACTCCTCTGAGTGGTGCCCGTCCTCGTCCCAGCCCTCGGTCACCCGGAGCTTCACCCCTGGCCATTGGTTCATGACGGAGATAGCGAGGGAGTTCAAGCGGTCCTTGCAGCGCTGCAGGGCAGAGGGGCAGGGTCAGTAAATCTTTGGGGGAATCAGGAGCAATTTTGCAGCCTGGCTGGCAGGTTGTACTCCACCATGCTTCCACAAAGCCAAGGAACAGGGAATGGTGTGAAGAGCAGTCAGCTAGACCTCCCACGGATGCAGGACTCCTGCCTTTCTCAGGTGCATCCTACCACCTCCACTCAGTCACAGAGATCTGTCTGTCACTCCTGTCCTATCCCCAAGTCCTTCCACTAGGCCATCCCCCATCTTCTGGTCCTCAGACTCTTTGGGCACTGGCTCCACAGAGAAAGAGCCTGTGTTGCCCCAGATCCAAGGGTATGAATTGCTTAGACCATCCCATGCTCTCCAGATGCCCCACAGTGATGCCCAGCACTCCCATATTTACTCAGCATCTCCCAAGCACTTACGCCCCAATGACTTAACTGTCTCCTTCTCCATCTCTCCCCCACTTCCCAGCTCACAGAGGGGATCGTTAGGATGCACAGCCTCCTCCAGGACGGCCCGGGATGAAAAACCCTCTTGGCTCCCAGGACAACTAGTGCTAGTGCTAGTGTTAGTGCTGCCTGTGAGGCTTCAGCTCGCCTACGGGGCTGGCAGAAGCCAAGACCATGCTGCTGTCCCAGGTCCTCAACAGAGGGGTGCCTTGCACCCCATCTCCAGCCCCCTATGGCACCCCTACCCAACTCCCTGCAGAGCCGGGCACCCTGCTCTCAGGCACTGGGCTCTCTCCTAGCAGCCACTGAGCTGGCAGTGCTCACCAGCACTAGCGAAACAACCCCCCAGGCCTCAGCACACCCTTGCTAGTATCTCTCCTTGGCTGCTTCTGAGTCCACATGGGCACAGCACCTGGGCAGCCTCATAGTCCCAGCCGTTCTCTGCTCATGTGGGAAATGCCAAACCCTCTCTCGAGCCCCGTTGTACTGGAGAAGGGTGCTATGGGACAAACACCCTCCACTTCTCCCACCCCTGTGTGCTGGTTCCTGTGGATGCCTCACTGCAAAACCAGGACTGAGGAATTCCAATAGGTCCCCAAAGCTCTTGGTGGCCAAAGAGGTCTCCTGGAGAAGCTGATTGCCCTGCTGGCTGCTGCAGCCTCCAGCACCGCAGCACCTGGGCCTGAACATCTGTGCGCGAGCTCTGCGCTCCTCCAAACCTCTCCCAGTGCTGCCAGCTCCCCTGAGCAGCAGCTCCAGCCACAGCTGCAGCCTAGGATGAGACCAAGCCTGGTTCAACCCCACAAAACCCTGTGCTTGCCTTGTGCTACTGTCTGCACCACCATTTCTCTTTCTCACCCCATCCCACCCTTCTAATGCAGAAGGGGTGGAGGGAAGGGAGAAAATGCCAGAAAAGCTTCTAGATCAGAGCATGCAAAGGGACAAGGACCGTGCAGCCTGGAAAGGAGATGGTAGGGGAAAAGGCACAGAAAGCTCTGCAAAATCACAGAGAGACACCAAGTACTCCTGGCCTTTCATGATGCCAGCACTGGGAAAGGTTAAATAAAGCCACTGGGATGCAGGCTAGGAACAAGCAGTGTGGAGGATGTTCCGTGAGGTGAGTAGTGATGCTGTGGGACTCCCTGCCATGGGACGTCACACCAGCCAGCACCAAAAGTGGGACAGAGGGGACTGAGAAGCAGTCATGGAGAGCATGAGGCAGGGCCATAAAACCCAATAGCTGTAAAAAACCCTGGCTTAGAAATGCCTGGGTGCTGCTTAGAAAGGCTCTGCTTGCAGGGAGGCTCCTCTTCAAACATGTGGGCTCATGCCCTGTCCCCAAGGACCTTCTCCTACCCCTGGGAGCTGGGTGCTGGCACCCTCAGCCCCCTGTTCTCCGGGAGCTCCACAGCACACATAGCTCGGCCGGGGCCCTGGGAAGCGCAGTGCCAGGCAGGCCTTTGCCCTGCACGGGGCGGTGGAGCACCCCTGCCCTTGTCCCTCCCCAGCCACGGCTCCCTGGGTGCGGGGAGATAAGCCAGGAAGGTGTTGGATAAACAGTTCCTCGGGGAGGGCAGGAGGAGGGAGGGGAGCGACTTTTGTCCTCATGAAAACACCAGCGTGGTGCCACTTGGTACATGGCACAAGACGGCTCCCAAGGCCCTGTCCCCAACGAGAAGGGCAGCAAGTGGGGACAGGAGGCTAGGAGGGGGGTCCACTTGCAGGGCATGCAAGTAGCCCCATGGATGCCCCTTGGGTGCACGCACAGCCGCCTCCAGGACGGGACTCGGCGCTTTCCCTCCCTGCTCGCGAGAGAGCAGCCTGTTCTGGACCCTGCTCTGCCCTCACTGCCAAGCTGACACCCTCTGGGGCACTCTGCCTGGCACAGCCCCAGCCCAAGAGACTCCCAAGAGACTCTCATCCTTGTGTCTCCCTGCCAGGGCCACCTCTGGCCACCAGCCCAGGGAAGGGCCATGCTCTCCTA